GGAAGGCTGAGGCAGAAGGATCGCCAGAGCCCAGCAGGTTGAGGCTGCAGTGGCCGGGAGTGTGCTACTGCACTCCAGTCTGGGCAACAGAGTGAGACTCCAACTCAAAAACAACCCCCAAAAAAAAGAAAGAAAAAAGAAATGAACTATGAGTTTTATGAGTTTTAGCTCAATCTGTATATTGACAAAATACAATTTTAAATAATAAACAAATTTTTCATTTGGCAATAAACATTTTTTGCCAAGATAAGAAATTAGAATAAATACTAGTTGATATTTAAATGGTCATTATTGAGAAATAGAAAAAGGAAAAGCAATTTTCTCCACGATCTTTTTTTTTTTTTAGCAATTATAACTGATGTAATTAGAAAAGAAAACTAAATTATTATAATATGGCTTGTTTAACTGTGAATACAAAGACAATAAACTGAAAACTATTAGACCATTCACATTCAGGCTAATCATTGAGGTGTTAGAGCTTATCCCTGTCATGATAGAGCTGGTCTGGAGGTGGGGGATTGAATGTCTGGGAAGGATTTTAATTTTCCATCACTGATGAAACTCAGCTGGGTAGGTAATTCTTGGTTAACATGGTTATCTTTGAGAACTTTGAAGACTGGACTCCAATTTTTCCTGCTTGAGGTGTTTCTGTAGATAAATCGGCTGCTATTCTAATTGGTCTTCCCCGCTAGGTAGTCTGACCTTTTTCTCTTGCTGCTTTTAGACAGTCGCACTTCTATATACCTACAATAAACAAGCAGAAACCCAAATAAAAAGTACAATCCCATTCACAATAGCCACAAAAAAAAAAAAAAAAATACCTTGGCATATTCCCAACCAGAGAAGTGAAAGAACTTTACAATGAGAACTATAAAATACTGCTCACAGAAATCAAAGATGACACAAATAAATGGAAAAAATATTACATGCTCATGGATTGGAAGAATCAACATTGTTAAGATGTCCATCCTACCCAAGGCAATCTACAGACTTAACACAATACCCATTAAATTACCAGTAGCATTCAGCATTCTTCTCAGACATGGAAATGACAATACAAAAATTCATATTGAAACATAAACAACCACGAATAGCCAAAACATTCCTCAGGGGTAAAAAAATTGGAGGTATCACACTTTAAACTTTATTATAAAGCTACAATAGTCAAAACAGTCTGATATTGGTAAAAGAACAGGGATATAGACCAATGGAACAGGACAGAGATTCCAGAAGCAAAACCTCAATTTCTCAACCAATTAATCTTCAAAAAAGCCTCCACCACTAACAACTGGGGAGAGGAGAACCTGTACAGTAAATGGTGCTGGGAAAACTGACTGACCACATGCAGAAGATTAAAAACAAGAACCCTACGTATCACCATACACAAAAATTACATGGATCAAAGACTGAATGTAAAACCTTAAAATGTAAGAACCTTAGAAAATGTGGGAGACATCCTTATGGAAACTGAAACTGGCAACCAATTCCTGATCAAAACTCCAAGTGCCCATGCTATAAGAGATAAGAGACAAGTAAGATGTCATAAAAACTGACAAGCTTCTACAAAATCAAAGAAGCCTTCAAGAAGGTGAAGAGACAGCTCAAAGACTGGGAAAAAATACTTGCCAGCTGTATATCTGACAAAGGCCTAACATCTCGTATCTACAAGGAACTCAAGCAGAAAAGAAAAAACAAACAAACAAACAAACAAAAATCAGGCCCATTACAAAGTGGACAAAAGATATGAACAGACACTTTTCAAAAGAAGACATACAAGCAGCAAACAGATACATGAAAAAACACTCAGTCTTAACTAGTCATCAAAGAAATGCAAATTAAAACCACCTAATTCCAGTCAGGATGGCCATCATCAATAACTCAAAAAACAACAGATGCTGGAGAGGATGCAAGTAAAAAAAACACTTCTACACTGTTGGTGGGAGTGTAAACTAGTACAATTTCTGTGGAAAAGAGTTTGGTGATTCCTAAAAGATCTAAAAATAGACCTTCCATGCGACCTTGCAATCCCCCTACTGGGACTATACCTGAAGGAACTCAAATCTCTCTATGAAAAAGGATACCTGCCCATGAATGTTTATTGCTACATTGTTCACAATAGCAAAAATATGGAATCAACCATGCTGACCATTGAAAAAGAACTGGATAAAAAAAATCGTGGTACATATATATACACGATGGAATATGGAGTATTACACAGTCATAAAGAAGGACAAATTTATGAACTTCACAGCAACTTGGATGGACTGAGAATCTATAATACTGAGTGATCTGTCACAGAAACAAAGAACTGAGTATCACATGTTCTCATTCATAAGCAACCTTGAACAATTATGGTAATACTATAATAAAAGGATTGGCAGTAGTGGGAATCTGCTGGGAGAGGGGGCACACCTCATCAACAAGGGTACCCGCATAATGAACATTTGTATACATATCTCTTCATTGTACCCCACATCTTTAAAATAAAAATTAAAAAAAAAAGATATTTGTGTGAGCCTTACCAAGGTGTTTAAATAAGATGTTTGAACAGTAGTCTAGGAGTGACAGGAAAAATAACTTTTACTGACTATGTAGCCAGTGCTGTGAGCTAAAATTGGTCTAGACTTCATTAATCTACTGGCCTTCCTTGTTTTATTTTTAAAATGTTTTAGTAACAATTCATCAAAATATCATAATAGACTACAGACATTTGCATTGGGCAGTTTCAAGTTTGAATAGTGCTCTCTATTTTACAGCTTTTTGATCCAAGTCAAGATCATATTCTTCTTTTAAGCCTCAATTTCCTCTTTTGTAAAACAAGTTAATGATAGTACTATATAGCCTAATGTAGTTTCTTGTGATATAATATAGAGTATTTGCTGATGATTAGACAAGGCAATTGATATAAAATTTTATAGCATGAACTAGCACAAAAAACTTGAATAAATAGTAGATATTACTTCTAAAGTAATAATAATAGAAATATGTAATATATACATATACAAACATCTTCTTTGCCATTGGACAAAGACAAAAATATTTGTGATAACATGTCATAGAGAACTTTCCTCCTAAACAGCCATGACTCTGACCTTGGAATTCCCATGCTAACCTCATTCCTCCTCAAATGTGGGGGACAGGCAGCTTTAGTCAGGAAAAGCATGCTTTGCTCTAATTTGATCCTTATTATTCCCATGTATTCAACACCCATTCTGTCCCAGGTATTATGCTAAGTAATGCACATTCATGTTCCCTGTGTCTCAAAACAACATTTTACTAATGATGCAACCAACTCATGGAAATGAAATAGCTTCACCAAAGTAAACACTAGCAAACAAAAATATCAAGCTCTGATCCCAGATCTTGTCAGTACCAAATCCAATTTTACTTCTACTAAACCTTACTACTTCAGTAACTGAGGCTTCCTCACACTAGCTGTGGGCTGAGTCAGGGACAGAAAACCTGCTCACCTACCAAGATCTTAGAGCAGAACTGCATCATAGGTAAACTGCATGAAAGATAGTGGGTCATCTGTTATCAGGGTCACATAACTCAAGTCTAATGCTGACTGAGAAATGTTAGCAAAGTAATGATCGTTACAAAAGTAGTAACCAGGCTTAAACAATTGCAGAGGGGTACACTATAAGTAAACCAAGGAAGAAGATAAATAGGTTAACAATGAGTAGAATTTTCTGGTCTCAAAGGGTCAACTTGCGTTTAGCGTGGGCATATTTGGGCCAAACAGGACTGCTGGGCTTCATCTAAAAAAATGTTATGATAAAGCAAAGATAAATCCTGGGAGAGGTTATAAGCAGAATTTTGTCACAGTTTATTATTATTACATGAAAATTAATTTTCCAAACATTGTCTACTGCTTGTTAGAGAAAGAATGAGGGTGGGAGACTGTTACAGTACTTTTTAGAAGTAACTAGCATAGGGGTCCTGAATGATTCGGTCTTATGCCAGGGTTCTCATTTATGGCTTCTTTGAGGCTACCCTTAGGGTTTTTGAGACCTTAGGCAAACATTTTTTGCAGTTCTTTTTATATGAAAAATGTGATTTAGTTAATATCAGTGTGTCAAAACTACTCTAGTCATCTAATCTCATATGATCCCATGAAATAAATACTACACTGGCAAAAGTGAGTAATCTGATTTTTATTCAGGGCCTTTCTATGAGACCTTAAGGTAACCCCTGCAGGGCACTTGCTCTAAAGCTCCTTCTAACATGTTCTAGAGCTCCTCAGGACATCTTGTGAATGCCATTTGAGGTAGTCAGAAGGTATCCTAAGGAAAAGATGGGACTCAGAACCTGAGTGGGCTCTACCCAGATAGTACCAACAGCTTTTTCCCAGAGCCCAGAAGGAAATTTTGAAATTTTTAAGGAAGGTCCTCCAAGGTGCTAAGACACTGGAGTGAAGACCTTAGGTCAGGAAACTCCCTTGTCTGAGTCTAAGGGTATTATTGAGCTACTTTGCAGAGTTATTATGAAAAATAAGTTAGATAATGCAGGCAGCTTATTAGATATTTTCTTGCATGTCATCAATAGCCAACTGATGTTAGATGGCTAATGGTATCCACCAATATTCACAAAATGTACCAATGAAACCAATCTCTGTATATGCTCCAGATAGGTTGATGTGTTTCTATTTCTATTTGTTGATAAGAAGTAAAGAATGATCTACAATGTTTGGTAGGATGGTTATAAATCCCTTCTTACTAAACAATCATGAACTGACCTTGGAAAGCCTTTGCTAACCTCATTGTCTCTCCCTAAGAGGAGAAAATAAAAGGACGAGGCACAAAATAACAATACTTTTGTGCTGCTAAGAAGAAGATGGTTGCATTTAGGTGGCTTAAAATTACATGTTGGTATTTGGTAAAACATACACCCCCTTTGTAGTTCAAGCCCTGTATTTTGAGTAAATTTTCATAAGTGTAAATGAGTCTCTCACATATCCTGATTGTGCACTCTCATGTGGTGCTTTTTTGTCTTTGCAGATCCCCCAGATTAGTTATGCATCAACAGCACCTGAGCTAAGTGATGACCGACGCTATGACTTCTTCTCTCGCGTGGTACCACCTGATTCCTTCCAAGCCCAGGCCATGGTAGACATTGTAAAGGCACTAGGCTGGAATTATGTGTCTACTCTCGCATCTGAAGGAAGTTATGGAGAGAAAGGTGTGGAGTCCTTCACGCAGATTTCCAAAGAGGCAGGTAGGAAGAGATTGCAATGATCAAGTTGACCCTCTTCAAATGTCTGTGACTTGTAGGGTTCTCTTCAGACTTTATTAAATAAACACTACAGATAATTACGCTGTCTCGACTCTCACACTCCCAAAGTCCTGTGAAGCACATTTGTAAAGTTGTCATTTATAACACTTTGTTGTTTTGGGAGATATTTTCAAAGACATGGAACTGAAGTTCCTTAAGTACTAATAGAAGAAATGAAGAAAAGAAAATATATACTAAAATTGATATCTTACTGGAATAGGACAGATTCCATTCAATATAAGAGCAGTTGGGAAAATGTGACTAGATGTGGCTCTTGGTGATGTTCTTCCTCTCTGCCTTTCTCCAAAATGGGAGGAATTGTTTAGAATTATGTGAACTTAATCACGGTGTCACTTTGATTTGAAGAGTAATAGTGATGCCTCTGAATGACTTCGTCAGAATGAAATTAAATAAATTATCCAGGCATTAGAATGTATTTAGGCAAATAGTCTTTCAAACTTGAGATTCTCATTTTGAGAAAGATGGTTCCATTTAGCAGCACTGGGAAAGGATTCTTTTATGTTTGTTTATTTAGCTCAAATTGGAAATAATGGGTTCAAATGTTTGGCCAGCTGTCTTCTATTGGGAAGATTTTGAAAAGCAAGACAAAATTCTCACACTTAGGAATCCTGACAATAACTATGCAGGTTTTCTCCTATGTACATATTGAATATAGTAAGTATATAAAAATATGTATACTTAGATATTCCTATACAGTTCTTATGCTAAATTTAAGTCCTCAGTTTTGTTTGTAATGATTTCATCCCATTCAAATTGTTATTGACCACAAATAAGCAAGGCAATTGAAACAGAGGTCCATTTTGTAAGGAAAGATGTCATAAATGCTGAAGTTTTGAGTTATTTTACTGATAGACTACAGATATACTCAGATATAAACTTCAGTATATGAATGACATATCTGTACCTGGATGCTTAAAGAAGGGAACAAGGACATGTTTGTGAATCCCATGGTTTTAGTTCAATGCAACACTGTTAGCTGTAATTTCAAAAATATACAGGAGAACTGGGTCATTCTATTCTTCTTTGTAATTTAACACCATTGACTAGATAGTTCCTAATCATTGGAGAGTCTAATCCTAAATACCGTTTCTAGGTTCAAACACACACGTTCACAGAAACTTCCATTGTTTTATTTGTTTAACCTTGTGCTTCCAGTCTCTTCTCCTATAGCACTTATCACAGGTTAGTATAATTTCTTGTTTGTTTGATTGTTTTTTCTATCTCTTCCCAATACTCTAATAAGAGACATACCTGTCTCATTTACTACTATGGCCCCCATTGCTATCTTTCTAAAGAATTCTTTCTAAAGAAAAATTTCTACTATAATTCAGTTAGAACTTTCTGATCAGGAAAGAAATCATAACTCTAGCCTTGTGGCATGCTATGATTTATAGGTCTTGTTAACAATTGACTTCATGAATCCCCAAAGAGATATCTAATCATTTTTGATGACTATGTTTTACTTCTTTCTTTGTTTCCTTGAATTCTACTTTGATCAAGATAAGGCCGGAGGCTGACTTAGAGAAATATCTAGAATACCAGGATAGAAGCATATAGATAAGATGAAGATAAAATTAGGTAAAATAGTAAGATAAACCTCGGAGACAAAGTTCAGATGCCATCATGCACTACATAATTGCTAAATGTGGGTCTCAGATATAATACTGAGCTTTGTACTGGATAAAGCAAAGAAAGAACACTGCCCATTCTGTTACAAGATTTATTGTGGTCATGAGGTCAAAATCATGTTGGCTATTCAGTGAAGAATAGTTTCCTTGCCTTAGGATCAAGACAAATATTTTCTCTTGGTCTGTATAAAACACTAGATTCTATAAACATGTCAGTGGTGAGTTTCATATGGTTGTTTTATACTGGTGTCATTTAGTGAAAACTTAAGATACAGTATCAGAGTTTGCTATATATGACTCTGTAGAAAGGAAAAGCTCTTGTAATATGATCTGAATTTCCAAGCTTATATTTTTAACTAATGCTACTGCCCTAGCTAAAAATAAAGAGTGTACCAGTGGCAACCATTTTAGATAAAATCTTTCCATCTTAGTGTCTTTTCCCTTGAGAATAAGAATAGCTAAAAAGCCAGCTGATGCTGTAAATTTTTAAGAAAATACTGAAATTTTATGTAATATTTTGAAGATTGGTGTATCGTCTCATAAGTATTATGGTATTTGTGAGTATAATAAAAATTTTTGGAACTATCATATGTGCAATTAATTCAAATGAATTCACTTATGGGCTTAGCAAACACCCCTTCTTTTCAATAAGAAAACCAAAAACAAAAAAAAAGAAGGAAAGAAGGAAGGAAGAAAAAAAGAAGCAAGGAAGAAAGGAAGGAAGAGAGGAAAGAAGGAAGGGGAGAAAATAACAATTTAAATGATGTGGGATAAATCTACTCAGTTTGTATGACCTAGAGAAAACATGAATTTAATTCTATCAGTTTCATTTCTGTGGCCTCTCATAATATATCTTGCTGTTCCAAAGCTGATTCTAGTATTTAAATACATGTTTTCATATCCTGCAAGCTTCCTCTGATGTTCAACTAAAGAAATAATAGTATATTATAGTTCCAAAAACTAAGAAAAAAAAAAGAAAAAAATGCTCAATTGGAATTTCTGAAAAACTAAACATGGCTAGAGAATTCTTAAGAGTAATATATTTACTTTTCCCCCTCCTTTGCTGATTCCAGAACCTGACCCTCAAAAAAGATTCGTTTAATGTGCAAGTGTAGTTGAGGCAATGTAGCACACATTAAGCAAGGACACTGCTTATAATGTTCGAAAGACCTGGATTTGAATAAAAAACTTCATCATCTTCTTATTGTAAAAATTTTGACATAATATTTAACTTTTTAAACCTCAGCTTTCTCATAAAGAGAACTAGATAAATGGTGTCTACTTCATCAGGCTGGTAGAATAAGTAAGATGGTACGTGGAAAAGCATTAATACCCAGAAAAACCTGATTACAACACACAAACTGGCTCCCTGTAAATAAATAGAGTTATTGTTTGAGTTTTAAAAGTTTGAAAATAACCTGGTAGATGTTGTCATTAGTTATACTATTTATTTATTTTATACATGTATTTATAAGATTTTATAAGATATCTATTTTATAAGAATTTTTTATTTATTTGATATCTTACTGTATTTATCTTATGTTACTATTCTTACTAATATGCTTTCACCATATAAGAATTATAAAAAGAAAAGAAAGGGAGCTATTTGTGCTGTTCTATATATGGTGTGTGTGTGTGTGTGTGAGAGAGAGAGAGAGAGAGAGAGAGACAGAGACAGAGAGAGAGGGAGAGAGAGGGAGAGAGGGAAAGAGAGCACAGATTGGCTGAAGAGATTTACTTCTATTTTTTCTGAACAGTTTGACTTTGAAGATCATGATTTTCTTCTTTTCTAAATGGTTTCACTCTTTTAGAATGTGTCAGCTTCAAAATTTTCTTAAATCCTAAGACAGAGGATACTTATAAACTAGAGCCTGAAGTATCTCCACCATGCGCATAGTCACAGTGCATGGATGGGCTCTTCCTTACTATTCTCTGAAAGAACAAATCAAAACAATAATGTCAAAGAAAAGAAGCCATTCTTTAATAGGGGCCATATAATTGGTTTAAACCATTGAAGTCTAGGCACAGTTTCTCTGAGCTGTCAAAGAAAACCTCAATAATTCTTCTCTCATGAATAGACTGGCAGATTTAAAAATGCATAGATGCTGTTCCTTATTGAACTTTCAAAGAGGACTGTAACATGATTTTCTCAGATAATGAGTTTTTGTAAAATAGTTATATTTACATAAATTGTCCTGTTTATTTGAATGAATGTACATGAAATAGCAACAAAAGCAATTTATTTATTAATATTGTAGGAAATGAGAGAAAATCCACTCACAACATGCTTTAAAATTCAGGTCAACATAAATGGCCTAAACTAAACTTTAAAAACTTCTTTCTCTAGTTGAAGATTAAAGTAAATGTTTATGATAGCCTAAGACATCAATAAATTCCAGATCCTTTTAACCAAATCTGATTCAAAGATTATCAGACTATATATATAACTCTTACAGTGTCAAACAATTTCAAGGAGAATCTCATGGATACTGCTTCACAATATAGCACAAATAGTTATTATTTGTTATTGCTATGGTATCATCAAACTTGTCAACTTTTCAAAACCTAGAAGAGTATTGACACTATCTTTTTGGCATTTCGTGGCAATCATTTAATACAGTTGTATTTCAGTTGAACTTATAAAGTAATTATTCTTATTCAGATAAACTCTAAGACTTCTTTTTAGTGAATACTTAACCTTGACCTAGAATATTCTTTCCCAGAGTACTTAGATGAAGTTTAAATTGAGTATTATTAAGTACTTCCCAATCTTCAGCTTTTTAGACTGCAGGAGCTAGAATTGCTTATGGTGGGATTTCATAGTAATCCTTCACAGAGGTGATATATTCTGTGTGTGAGTTGCCAATTATCAGTCTTTTCTAACTTATTGTAAGCTTTATGAGGGCAAGATATTGTCCCACATCTCTATCATTTAGCATACTTTCTAGTATATAGAAGACATCTCATCATTATTTCTTAAGAGAAGAAAAGGAGACGTGTTTTTCTTCTTTGCCTTTTAAGAAAAACAAAAACATATAAAGGAAGCAGTTATCATAAGTAATTTTGCTTGAATATCACAAAAAATTATATGCTAGTTCTGTTTGCTGTGTTTCATTACAGTTGCTCCCGCCTTGATTGTGCACAATTCTTCCCTCTTGCCATTTCTATATAAAGCTAGTAGTGGTTTTGGTGCGAAAAAGGCTATAATTCCCAATACCAACACCTTTGTTGAATTCACAAATTCTCCTTTTATTTCCAATATCATGGTGAATATGGAAAACTCTGTCACATTTTAATAACTAAATGATTTCCCT